TGTGTGTGTGTGTGTGTGTGTGTGTGTGTGTGTGTGTGTGTGTGTGTGTGTGTGTGTGTGTGTGTGTGTGTGTGTGTGTGACGTGGGATTAAAATTATATTCTTGTTTATTATCGTTCTCCGATCTGTACACAATAACGCGCGCGAGGAAAAAAAGAAACACGCTGGATTTAATACACGTCGCGCGACGCGCTTACACAGCGCATCGCTAATTAAAATGTCAAGCGCGTGCAAGGTCGCTCATTAAATTCCGCGAGAGGTTAAAACACACTTTGAATATTTCGTGCAAAAAACTGTTTTTCCGAGATGGCAGTCGCTCTCCAAGCGCGTACGCGGCGGATCGGTTTTTATATATATATTTTTTATTTATCTCGATTTATTATTTTTTGTTTTATTTATTTATTTTTTTGTTTTTAAAAAAAAAGCTCTTGCGCACGGTAGTTTGCATGTTCTCACTCCTAGTTGTTTTTGGATTGTTTGTTGCATCCCAGGTCCAGACGAATGTCCCAGGATGTCATCACCTCGAAGTCGACGGAGAACCTCTCAGCGTCTTACTACAGGTACGCTTGTTTATTATCGTTTGTTTGCGTTTTATCTTTCTACTTGTCTTTAATTTCTGTTTGACATTTCCGTCTTTATGAAAATTAACTGTGGCGGAAATGATGCCACCTAACTCTACCAATCTTTAAACTGTTTCGAGGCGCAAAACTCGATAAGTTTGTTGTCGAGAGCGTCTTCTCTTTTCATCGACGGTAAGTTCAAGCGAGTTTCACTTCCGCTATCAATACCTACCGACCAAAAAAAAAAAAAAAAAAAAAAAAAAAAACGACGGCGGACGAAACCGCGCGCGCACGCGGCTGGAACGTGTTGCTGCTACGGACGCGAATGAATATGAGCTATCGCGCTGCGACGTAAAACGCAACGTCGGTTCATTCATCGACTTTTTCATTCATGTTCTTTTTTACCGTGTTGCTTTTTTTTTTTACGACACACACGTTGCACCAGTTATTCGTCAGAAATTTCGCCGAGCTTTATCTTCGTCGGCCACGCGCGTAGACCGCGCGCAATCTCTACGCGCGTAGATGAACCCCCGGCACACGGTTCGTTGCGTCGTGAAATTGCGTTTTGTTATGGTTCAGCGCAATTGCCTCGCATGCTCGAGCGTTTACGAGATAGCGACGAAAACTTTTTAGCGTTTTAAGTCGCGCGCCGCGTAGTACGCGTACCGCAATAGAATTCCGCGCGCGAGAACAAGTCAACGCACACAATAGCAGCTTTCTTCAAACTTCATTTCGGAGAGTAGCCGCGCATCGATAGTGGCTGTTTGTGCGGATGTTTTATGTGAGAAGCATAAAAACTGCAAATGCGTTTCGCGAAATGGTTTTTCATTACGCAATATCTCGAGGTTTTGTTTGTCCAACGATCGCGCGCACCGGTTCGATAGTTCGCCGTGTGTAACGAAAAATTATACAGGAATTTCGAGTTCGATTAAAAAAAGAGTTTGCTCGAAAAAAAAAAAGTACCTACCACATCCTCGACTCATTTCCGCTTTTCCGTTCCGTTTCTATCGATCCTGGGGAGTTTTTTTTTTCTTCTTTTTGCATATCTCCCTCGCTTCGGCTTCGGTTTAATCGAATTCGCGGCGCAAACGGGGAATGCACAGAAATTGCGAGCGAGGTCAATTAACGACGAACGTTTGCTTTATTTTACAGGAGCAAAAGCCGCAGCGTGGATCATGGATTCACGGCACCCTTCGCTTTGGATTCCTTGCGGAACAAGGTCGAAGGACGCTTCGAATCCGTGGACAAACTCTCGAAAGGTGAGTGCAGATTATTATTTTTTTTTTTTTACATAATTAAAATTAGGCGATGTTAATCGTCGATTTTTTTTTTCGCGTGAAACAACTCGCGCAACTTCCGTTCGGAATTGCTCCAACAATCAGGAAGAATCGATCAATACTCGAAAAGAATATAAAACTTTTCGCGCGCACAAATATGCGATCGTCAAAATTCACTCTAGCGAATTTCCCAGAAGTATCCAGGCATCTTTATTCGCGGATCATTTTTATCACGGTGGATTTAAAAAAAAAAAAAAAAAAAAAGCGGCTTTGAAAAGCGTCGTGTCGCACTTGAGAGACGTTTCTTTCAACAATGAATCATCACAATCCGTCAAGCTCTTTAGATCGGCGATAATGTCCGACGCGGAAGCGACGACGTTTCTCTCTCTTTCTCACTCTCATTTCTCTGTCGACGACGGACTTGTGTGTGAATTGGAGAAGTTGGCCGTGACGATGACGCGTTTCTCGCGACGAAGGTCTCTCCCGAGCAGTTTCGACGAATCAGCCACGCAACCTTACTCCGGGCGGGTTACATTGACTTACTTTCTCAAACTGGCACACTAGTGCCACGTGTGATCGATCGTTTATATATCTCGCGCGCATACTTCGGCAATCGGTTACCAATAACGCGCCGTATTGGCCGCGGGCAGCTTAATGAAGACTAATTGACGCGCTCGAATTAAGGATAAAGTGGGCACGGTCGGTAATTAATGAAACGCGAGGCGTTTTCGATCAAAATTCCGAACGTCAAATGATCTAGTCCCGCGCGCGAGAAATCGAACGGATTATATTATGCGAACAGGTGGCGAAACGATATCGCGTTCGTCACTCCTCTCTCTCTCTCTCTCTCTCTCTCTCGCTCTCTCTCTCTCTATCTCTATCTCTCTTGCGAATAACTTCTCTTAATCGCGGCATGATTCATTCAAGATTGATGCATAATTTATAAGATCTGCTTTATGCGCGATATTGTCTCTTGAAGCGAGCGTTTTTTTTGCTGCGCCGATAAATAATCGCGTGAAAACAAGTTGCGTCGCAAAAACCGCGACTTCGTAATGCGGGTTCATCGTGCTCGTTATATATAGCGTCAATTATCGAGTTATGATTTATTTAGCAACAGAGTTAACAAGCTCGTGAGATGACAAAAAGATATTTGGACGCGGATGCGAATAAAAACACAAGATGTGTGTTTTTTATTGAATACAAAATTAAATTTATAATAAAAAGGAATAAAATTAGTAATTAACTGCGGTCATCCTACTGATTCTTAACCCTTCGTGGACTGACATGGGTCTTCCCAACCCATTCAAAAATTGCGCATCGGCGTCTCTAATAAAAATTAGTTTTTTGCTCATATCTTTGAAACTGTTAAAGATTTAAAAAATTTTAAAGATTTTTTTATTTTGATTTTTATCGACGCAGAATCGTTCAAACTATCGATTCCTACCAGAAAAAGCGTGTGTAAACAATTACAATCGATACTCTCGATATTGATTATTGCCACTTTTATCTTGACGCCGATTAAACGTTTCTCGGATGTGTTTTTCTCGATTTATGTCGTACGAATCAAGAGGCAACGGTACTGCCTCGCGCCGTTCGAGCGCGACTTCGTTGCGCGTGACTAAAGTAAACTCACGTGACGGTGGGAGAGGAAAAACAACACGTGACTTTAAAACCGTGACTAAAATACAGTCACGTGTTGTTTAACCACTCCTCCCTCTCACTACTTTTTGATTTTGATTTTTTGCGTTATTTCTGACATTTCTCTAATGTGTGTATTATATGGTTTAGAGATTTTTAAGACGTATATACCGTCATCGCGGTGACAGGTTGTGTTTGCTGACACTACACATTAAAATAAAAACATATAATAGCGCGCGCCTGTGTTGTGCTAGTCAAAAAAATAAAAAAAAAATAAAATATTGATTTTTCACGAAGATGTTTAATTTTAAAGTCTCGTGGGTCTCATAGACCCTGTCAGCCCAACTAGCAGGCAGTTTTTTGAGAGTCAGTCCACGAAAGGTTAATATAATTTAATTTTTTTATTCTGATAAAGATCCAAACAAAAGAATCTATAGTTGTTTTGAAACGTCTGTAGTTGTTTTTGTATTCAATAAAAAAAAACACGGACGGTCTTGTGTTTGTGCTCATCTGCCTAAATACTTAATTTATTTAGTAGCTTTGCTTCCTTTGAAAGATCAACACATTTGGTATCTGCGATCATCGCTACTCGACAATATCAAATAGAAAAAGAGACCTTGTGACGTAAGGAGACTGGAAGGAGCCGAAAACTGGTAGTTCGCCGCAAACGCACACGTCTCGCAACACTCGGGACTTAATTTTTACGAGATTTACGCGCTCGCCCACGATTTACTTATTGCGCGGCAAATGGATCTGAGAACGAGCGTCTCAAATTCAACCCATCATCGTGGCGTCATCGTGGCGCGCTCCATTTCGCGAGATTGCCGGGAAAATATATAGATTCCGTCTGGATGTGGCCCCGCGAGCAGTTTATTAAATCCACTTCAGGCACGCGAGAGTATAACCCAGATAACCGGCGCGAACATTTAAATCATTCGCCGTATGTACGCGCGAGCGTTTAATGATAGTCGAGGGACTCTCCAGGGGACAATTGTTTCCAGCTAACGCTGGAAATTTATCTCATTACCTGCGCACTCCAGTCGTTTGCGAAATTGCACGTCTCAGAAAATAATCCGTGCACCGGCTTTCTCTCTCTCTTTCTGCGTGAGCTTCGAGTAGCACACACACACACACACACACCCACCCACTCTGCAACTTCGCAAATTGTTTATTAGCATTTTTAATTGGATGACGAAGTCGTAAAGTTTTTTTTTACGTATTTATTATTGCCAGCGAATGTGTGCGATTTGTGAATATCATTGAATCGATTGTCGCACACATAGTGGAAACAAATAAATCCGTTCGAACGTACAATTTACATATCGCAAATGGTATGTAATTGAATAATTACGTCAAATAATTCGCATTACGCGAATAATTTTGTTTGTTAAGCGTTTTAAGCCGATTGTAACCCGGTTTGTGTACTTTTACGATTTGTTTTTTTTTCTTTTTTTTTTTTCTGTTTTCGCGCGCTTGTTTGCGACGAAAATCAGAGGAACGAGCCGAGAAAAAACAACGCGGGATCGTTATATCGCGGCGCGAGGGGGAAAGAGACGGCAAAACTGTCGATCGCGTTGACATTTTTATTGGCCTATCGCGCACAATGTTTGCGCACATGTGCGGCTGTTTGCATTGTAACGACACTGGTTGCGCATAGGCTGTGCAAACATTTATTTCCGATTACGCGCACTCTATATGTCCTCTAAATCGAATGAGCGTGTAGGGCTCTGTGAAAGTTTCTCGGAAGCGATGAAGTTCCGCCGAACGAGCTGCCGACGGCGAGAGCGATAAATCGGGCGAAAACTTATATATACGCCGTTCACAAACATCCGTCGTGATTTATAAATCTCTTGAATATACAGCCTTAACCGTACAGCTTCAACGTGTGTGTGTGTGTGCGTGTGTGTTGAAACATTTCTGCCTCATCTCCCTCGTCGTTTCATCTTCTTTGCCTTTCCAAGGACTTGTTTTATGATTAAATAAGATAGATAGACACTCGGAGCGCCGGGGATTCTCTTTCATAACAATTTCTCGACGCAATAAGTGATACCTCGGTTACCGATAATCGATACAATCGACACGAGTCCGACGCGATGTGTATTTTTTTTTTTTTTTTCACCAGGATTTTCATTAAAATCTGTAGTAAAAAAAATGTTTAGTTTTGTTTGGTGAAGCGCGATTGAAATAGATTGAATTGCTGTGCGCTCTGAAAAAAAAAAAGAAAAAAAACAATGTAAAGTGTCAATAGCAAGTAGTATATAGTACATGTAGAACGATCGCTCTCTAGAAATCGATCGCATTCTCTTTGTAGAGCGTGCCATTGATGATCTTATTAAATATTCGCTACAGCGTAACAACGTGACGAGCTTCACCTTGTAGTTTATTGTCACACACGATCGAACGTGTCTTCGTCGGAAGATAAAAATATGCATACATCCGAACGATTTGTATTTGAATCTATACGAATCCTTTATAAATCTTTGCTATTGATCGTATAGTTAATCAATTTTGCAACTTTTGCGCTCTAATAACTTCAACAGATTGACAGAAATAGAATTATTCGCGCCGCTTCACCGCGAAATCGATATTCAGTTATTAATAGGCTCTTTTATCTTGTTTACGTAATTAATTCTAATCCGTCAATTTACAAGAACGTTTTATTCGTCGAAGAACCGGTCTAATGTGTGTGATCGATCTTCGCGGCGCCGCCGTCAATTCCGCGAATTCGTTCCGCAGCTTGTAATCCTCGATACGATTAAGTCGATGCGCGTTTGATTATACACGGAGCAACGAGCGCGATCGAATAATCCCGCCGACGGTGACGTCAGTCGATCCATCATGGCGGAACGGCGGCGATCAGTTGCACTGTGTCGCAGCTGCGGCTCGTCGCTCGTCGATCGCTAAGTAGTGTCGCGTCGTTCGCGCGCGTATTCCTAGAGTGACCGGTTCGAGAAAACGTTGTCGGTGCGGCGTTTGTTGTCGCGATCGGTGGCTCGTCGAAATCAACATTCTCTTTCTCGATCGGCGACCGATTGTTAATCGTCGTTTCACGTGACCGTGACACTCTCTGGCGCGGTTGCGACCGCACACGAGACGTTGATTGCGTCGCTCGTCGAAGGATTTGTGAGAACTCGCGAAAGAAGCGGAAGCGCATCAGGACTTTTATCTCGGTTGCGTTATCGGTCTCTCGACCGATAAGCGTTAATTGGCCCAGGAACGTGAATAACTTCTTTCTTCGGACAGTGTCTTTTTGTTCCGCGAAGTCGCCGGTTCGTATCTTGCTCGGTGCTTTGTAATTTTAATACGGCGAGTTTCGACCGATTTTATAATTCCGAATCCAAATAGAAATATTTTTAATTTTACACACATTTATGTTATAAAAATTGATTATGTATTTTTTTTTAAATACATGAGTTTTGTATATTTAAACGTATTCATTCGGCAAAACGGTGTTTGATGTATAAAAATGTAATTCGCGGAAACTATATTTTAGCTTCGTAATTAAACTAAATTTTACACAACTTGCGCACAGTGCGATTCGGACCTCGGAATTATGCGGAAAAATTAATAATTCCAGAGAAAAGAGTGTGAAAGCTATTATTATTATTATTATTTACTCGCGTGCTCTCAAATGTGTATTTAATCACTTAAATTTTTTTCGGTTTTCTGAATACATTTTATTGGGCGAACTGCAATTAAAATTCTCATTGACGAATTCGAAATGAGAACTTCATCGCGTGCTCGCTTCAGCCTATCGTGCGAGAAAGTTTCGGTGTAGCCGGTTTTGCGTCACGTTATAGTGTGCACTTTTTGCGTATCGGCAGTGACAAGGTCAGTCGTGTCGGGCGGAGAGAAAGTGTTCCTGAAACTTTGAAACGCGCGCGCGCGTGCGATTTCAGCTTGTCTGTCGCGTCCTCGTGAAAAATTTAAGGCGCTTAAAACAACGGTAGTTCCTGTTTTAAAACGAAAAAAAAAGGACACTCCGGTTTTTATTCGTTAAAGCGCGTCTAAAATTTTTATCTTTGTGAGATAAAACTTTTGGTAAAAAGAGTTTAGAGAGAGAGAAAAAAGTAGCAAACAAATTATTAATCTTTATGAACGTAGAGAGAAATAATGTGTAAAACAGAGAGATATTCTTGTTTTGTTCCTAACTAAATACTAAAACACGAAGTACGCAACACAATAGAAGCTGTTTTTATCGAGATTGTCGATAAAAAACAAAAAAACAAAAAAAAAACGAACAATTGAAAACACGGTATTTTTCGTTCACCTCGTTTTCCAAGACGTTAAAGCTTTGCCTGACAAAGTGACACTTGTCAACTACGAGAACAGAGTGTTGTGTAGTGACGTTGCTCCACCAGCACAAGTCGGCGGCGTCGCGCGCGCGCTCGACATATCAAATCGAGAGCGACGGCGGGCGTCGATTCTCGGAAAGAAGAAGAAAAAAACGGGAGATGAGACGATGGAATGGTTCGTACCGCGGATATCGATGACGATGGAATTTGACGTTCCGACGAGTGGCTCGCAGTGGGGATACGCCGACTACGAGGCGAACAACATTCATATTTATGAGAAGGAGTTTCACGACTACGTTGTGTATTACGTGGCACGAGGAGATTCGCAGCTGTTATCGAGCAGCTCGCAGCACACCTCAGGTACATGTCGAGAGAGAAAAATGCTGGATAAACTCTAGCGGAAAATGCTTTTAAACGAGCACCTTCGTACACACGAAGTGGTTTATAAGCGCGTTTTCCGTCGCATTGGGTGCGACGGAAGGAAAAAGTTCCGCTCCCGCGAGTTGCAAAAACTTTTCGCACTGTTTCTCGCAGCCTTTTGACCTCTTCTTCGTTCTCTTTCGACTTCTGGAAAATGATGGGTTTTATTTGATCGGCGGACCCGAAGAAAACTCGAGTGTGTGACTCATATTGAATAATTTTATTAAATTTATTTCGCGGAAAAACACATTAAAACGCGCTAAATTGCGCTCGAAACATTTTTAATATTTTTGTTTTGTTTTTGGTTTTTTTTTTGTTTTTATTATTTGTTATTGAAATAAAACGATTTTCATTACGAGCGTTTATTTACTTCGCTTTTTAATTCTCGTGATAGAAAAAAAGAATATACATTGTAACGATACGTATTGTACACTATTTCAAAAAAAATTTTGCTCAAGTAGCTTTGAATTAAAAAAAAAAAAAAAGATGATCTCTTTAATCAAAAATCAAATATACCGAAAATGTAGTTTGAAAAGTTTGAAAACGAATAATTTCCAAAAAGCTGTTTATTATATATATTCAACATTCAATTTCGGCTGGCGACGCTTTTATCAGGCCTTGTGTGCCGATCGTTGTTAATTAATTTCGCACGTGTGAATCGAAAATTTATACATAGTCAGCGTTGTGCGCGACACATGAGTGACGCGAGATAAAATATGCAAATCCGTAAAAAGTGTCAAGTCCACGCGTTTCGTTCGTTGTCGTCGGGTTCTGAAAAGAAACGTCTCTCATCCCGACGTTTATTGCGCAATCGCAATGAATTGAATGCCGGTTGAAAATTGAGCAAAGTGTCTGAATCATTTATCGAAGGCCGCGGGGGAAAAATAAACCTTTCAAATCGCGCGAGTCTCCGTCTGTCTCTTCTCGCGTTCTTTGCATACGTACGTCTTGTCGCGCCGCAGACCAATAGAAAACAAAACAAAACAAAAAAAAAAGCAAAGAAAAATAGAATCTATTATATCTATTTATTCCACCGACCGGCCGTCGCCATCGTAGGAATATAACAAGGGGAAGCGCGCGTGTTCAATTGTGTGATATATGAGTAATCCGACATTGAGGCTTGTAACAGCTCCAGTAATTATACCAATTACGCGTCGCTCTCGTGCCAAGTAACACTGAAAATAACCTGGACTTATTTTACGTGAAATAATATAATGCGCGTATTCGTTAAAATAAATAGCTCTCGTTACAACGGTCCGTTCGGGTGGTCCGCTCTCCCGGGAACATCGTAATTTCATTAAAACCGTGTTTAACAGCACGTGTAACACATTGCTAAAATAAAATTATCCCTTCGCGTGTGCGCGTTAAATTCTCATTACTCCTGGATTTGTCGAATTTACGTGAGCGCGCGCGCGCGTGTTTACTTCTAGCGCCAAGTGTTATCAATAATTTAAATTGTAATTTGTTACGTAATGGCCTCGCGCGTTTATACACACAATATATATCTTCTTTTATAAAATCACGCGAAAAATACGATATCGTATAGAGATATCGTAGCAGAAGTCAATCGCCAAGTTTATCGTGCATGCATTTCTCGTGCGCGATCTCCCGAGTCTTCTTTCGCTACATCCGGGTGTATGTCACCCGCGAGCGTATATTTAAATTTATTGCGATTAACTTGCGTTATAGTTCAGCACGGACGGAATAAATTTTGCGTGAGTCGTCACGTGCTTGCTGTTGAGTTTATCACGAGCGCGGTTTGTGTTGCGATGCCGGCTTGATATATGCACATATGCCGCACTCGATACATGACGCAGGGGCGGGGAAAGAAATATAAAATCGTTTCTCTTCATCTGTGTGTCGTAATTTTGCAATATTCGCGATTATTCATCGAACGTACATCGGCGATTGTGTCTCTACGTTTTAAATTTAATTTTCGGAAAATCGTTATCGGATCTCAGATTCGAAAAAGTTTTTTAATTAAAATTCGAGACACAAATGCCGGATATTATTTTTTTTTTCTTATCGTATATCGCGAATAGTAAAATATCGTTCGCGTTAAGTTCTGTGTATATACGCACGACTTTCCGCACTTTCCGGGAAAACCCCAAGATAAATATATACAAACTCTGTTCTTAATGACATCTTCGGAATTCGGAACAAACTCCGCATTATTATCTTATCTATCCGCGTCTCCGGAGGTAAAGCGCGATTGTGCGGTTGTGATTTATGCAAAACAGTCATAAGTCAAATAGGAGGATATATCTGCGTTGTGAGCGCAGAAGTGGGAGGAAAAGACGTTATCTGCGCGGCGCGGCGAGAGACACGAACCTCGCCTCGGCGAGATAATAAATCCGCCGCGTGTTGCGGAATCGTTTAACGCGTCGCGCGTTATTCTAGAGCGACGATATATACGTGACTGAATCTGCTTTTTCTGCACACAGATTCCGATAACGAGAGCAAAGATGGCTCCTCGACGCAGGAAAAGAAGCACGGCCGCGTCTCCCAGCCCATCAACACCATCGCGTACACGGTGAGTACATGTCACTGCGATTTCTCGACTCGAGACTTCTTAGTTGGCTCGTCGAAAACTCCAACAAATCCGTCCATTAATGCCAGTCTAAGCACACGTTTCGAGTTTCGAATTTTAAGTTACAATTTCAGCGGACCTACAGTTTTTAGAGGTGGAATCCGAACCGCCGATCTCGCGATTTCTATGCGCAAATGTGCGCGCGCGCGCGCGCGCACGATTAAACGTTTATTAATAATTGAACGCACAATTGAGCGATCCCTAGCTCTCTTCTCTTCTCGTACACGAACGAGAGATTCGATCAAGAGTTAAGATAGAAGATGATTAAGATCTCTCTTTCGCTCTGGATAACGAACGCAACTTTTACTCGAAAAATGCATAAGAAAGATGCAACGAATATTTGGCGAATATTAAGATCTTGAAGTCAATCGTATAGAATCAATTGTAAACTGTTCGAATTTCAAATGCGCGTTCCGACTATTTAAAAAAAAAAATTATTTATTTAAAACTTATCGATTGTTTATTTTTTTATAGAATTATTTATCTTTGTAACGTATTACAATTAAGCAATTATTGAAAAAAAAATTTCTACGTTAAATTGATATAAGTTTAATTATTAAACTTACTTTCTTTTGTATATATATATATATATAGTTTAAGACTGTATATACTATACAGACTATATACAAGCTATATATACTATATACTAACTAAAAAACTATATAGTATATATAGTAAAACTATATACTATATACTATACTAGTAAAACTATATATACAAATTTAATTTGGTTTTATTAAATATATAAATAAATAAATTAGATATCAAGCATTAAAACTATTCGCGACTAGCAACAGTCTATTAGCTATATATTTTCTAACTGTTCTTCTATTCGGCAAAATAATAAAAAAACGTTGCTGTATAGGCAGAATACTGAATAGTTGTTTACTACTTGTTGTGACTCTTATGCATAAATATCCGCTAGTTTTACGCGCCTTAAAACACACGTACGTAACCGTTTAACTGTTTCTCTTCGTCACGTAGCCGTCCGACTTCATCGGAAGGGAGAGAGGCGAAATTTTTTTTTTTAACAAACTGTTTCCCGGAATTTCAGTTACGAGAATGTGTGTATCGATATGGAATAACATGTATCAATTTGTGAATCTGCAAAAATAAACAATAAAATACCGCAACTTTGCAAGAGAGAGAGAGAGAGAGAGAGAGAGAGACGAGGTCGACGAACCGGGCGTTGAATAAAAATTAACGATAAAGGTCGCGGAATGGAAATAACGACGAGTTGCGCAACGGCATGAATTTTTCGAAGGACGCAATCTCCGTTACGTGAGTTGAAATTCTCTAACACTCGCGCGGAAATCGACGCGCAATTTTCCGAAGAGTTTTTTTTTGCGCTCTTTTGTTGTGATAAAAAAATTACTATTTTGTCTAACAAGCGAGATTTTTTATTTTTGTTTTTCTTTTTACTAAAAATATACACAATATATGACGGTGATTATGTCGCGCGCGTAAAATCTCCGCGTCTCTGTCTAGAAAGAATTTTTGCGCGAGAGGCATTCAACACTCGCGCGCAAGAAATCGTCGTAGCGCAATTTTCCGAAAGGTTTTCCTTCATATTTTTTACGAGAAAAAAATTCTATCTCGCCTTCTAACAAGCGAAGTCTTCTTTGTTTTATATGAAAAATTTACATATAAAATAGAGCAAACACGTCTCACGTGCGCGCGCGCGGAAATCGAAATTGTCGTCTGGAAAAGAGTTTTTTCCCGCCGAGAGTCGTGGAACACGAATTAGCCGAGCGTATTACTCGGTTATCAGCCGCGGTTATCAGCGCGCGCACGTGCTTCCTGACGGTGCGGTGACTTTTCAGCATGAATTCCAATTACTTGGCTCGTGCTCTCTCTCTCTCTTTCTCTCGGGAATCGGTGCTCTCGCCAGATCCTCGTTAGCGAAATAGTTTCTCTCCTACCCCGTGGTTTGGTGGTGGGTCGCGCTCCGTGGTGAAAGGTCGTCGCGAGTTCGCAAAGACCGCGGGACACTGCGCCGCTGCTACGCGCTCTCGGAACTTCGGAGACGACACGGGGATGGCACTCGTGCGCATCGCTGGAATTCTGGAGCGGTGGTGTATGCAAAATGTTATATCTCTCTCTCTCTCTCTCTCTTCTCTTCTCTCTCTCTCGAAGTGGCACGCGTCCGTCGCGCAGCAGGTTGAGGCACTTCGCTCGATGAATAGCTTGAATTTACCCTTTCATTTCCACCGACGTTCCGTAGAAGAAATTTCGCGAAATTTGAAAGTCAAATTGTGTTTTAAACAAACAAATGGAGAAACGACTCCAGAAAGTAACTTTAACTGAGAATTCAAATAAAACAAGTTCTAAGAATCAGCGCGGATGTCTGTGGAAAATAATAAATGAGCTTGATTTTTATACGATCAGTTTTAAAATTTTAATATATAATTTTTAAAAGCATTCTCTTGATATTTTTTGCGTAATGTTGAAATAAAAAACAAATTGATTTTAATTTTATTACAAATGAATTAAAATAAATAATATAACCGTTGTTAATTTTGACGAGATAATTAAGACAAATGCGCATTTATAGGCAACACGATGGATGTTTTTTTTTTTTTTTATTATGTTTTCAGCTTGTTGAATATTTAAATAAAAAGAAATAAGGAAGTGGCAATAACAAATTAACACCAGATATTCGGGTACAATTCTTTTATAATTCGAAGATTTTAAAAAATTTTTAACGAACGTTTTTCTGTTTTTTTACATTCTTTTGTGTTTTTCTTTTTTATTGGTTCTTCGTTAACGATAATAGTTTTGCTTTATTCCAGCTTGCAACGCTATCAAAAGGCGATATCGTCGATTTCGATGCTCGCCTCGGGGGAAATTTCACGATCGAGCTCTCTGCTCCGGAAAGAAAGCGTCCTTGTAATTTCTCTCTCTTTCTCTCTCGTTTCCTTCTAGCCCTAACCTTTTCTTAATGCAACATTCCTTCGTGAACGGCGTCGCTTTGGGAAAGCGGAAATTTGCGTGGCATTTAATTCGACGAGGAAATGAAGTTGTTGCGCAAGAATCTGCGCTTCCTGATTTCTTCCCGCAGCGCTCTCGATCCCAGAGACCGGTTTGATCGCACGCATTTTATCCCATCGTATGTTCCGACGACTTCTCCGATTCTTCGAATGAGACGATCGTTAATGGTTTATCAAACTATTAAGATTAAGATATATAAGAAATATAAGATTAGATAAATTTTTATTGATACTCGAGCGCACAAATCTTCGTCTTATCAACATTGAAATATCAGCATTTGAATGCAAACCTAATCGCAAAGTACATGCGATTATTGAGAATAGTTTTGAACACGAGAGACAGAAACTATTTTTAGAAGGCCGGCAGTTTTTTGAATACGATACCCAAAACTTGTAAACAAATGCCTTATATAAAGTTATCGCACAGATCCAATCAGTTGTCGGGCATCTAAGAGTTAATTGATCAGCGTAACAGATCTCATTATTAGAGGGAGAAACAAAAAGTTCTACGCGGCTTTTTTTTTTTTTGGTAACGATGGTTGAGAATCGTTGGTTAATATTGTTACACGCGCAATTACAGTGAATGACATCTTCTCTTTCTCTCGCAATCTACGCGATGTTAATCGCTTGATGGGTCGCCGTTCCCTTTGGTGGCTGTTGCTGCTAGCGCGTTTATCCAGTTTGGCGAAATCACTATGGCCGCAGCCGTAATCTCCGTGTTCTGATAATCACGGTAGCTGCAATCCCCGCTCTATTAGACCTCCCCTCGGCTTAAGCCGGCCATTTCGGCTCTCCCCTTGCAGCTCCCATTGATCGATTAACGTCTGTAATCCCGGCGACGGACTCCTCTTATCTCCTCGGGTTTTCGTGACCTCGATAACACTAATGTTCGTTCGTGTTAAATAACATCAACAATTTCCCCGAGTTCACGTTTTGTCGTTTTGTTTGCAATCGGTTTGCACTCGGCCAAAATTGCAAAGTTTCTGAATTGTATTTTTGTCACTTCGTTAATATGTTTTACAATTCACATTTTTCTAAAAAGATTTGTCAAAATCACACACACACACATTGTTTATTATCACACACAGATTGTTTATTATTTTATATATAATTTCTATTTTTTCAAAATCAAGAAATATAACATTGAGAGTCAAATTCTAGATAAATGTGCAAAATTATATTTTTATAACGTGTAAATTAATACAAATAGAAAATTTCTTTTTTGTAATGGAATTTTTTAAATTTCATCGAAAAGTTTAATGAGTAATTTACAAATGCGATGCAAAGTAGCATCCTATATGAATTTTAAAATTGTTATTCAATTCGAATCTACGTGTTTAATTTACACGTAAAAATATAAAAATATATTTTTTAAAAAGTATTCAAAATATTTTTCTCTCCAGCGAGCTTTTAAACTTCCATTTCTTGATTTAGTTAATGAAACCGTATATTTTCGTTATATATATATATATATTTTTTTTAATATTTTCACGACAAACACTATTATCTCTGAAATTAATGTACATTTGTAAAGAAACGAGTTTTGATCACGTTTCACGCGAAAGTTCGCAGAAATGCGATAATGCACTTGTCAGAAGCAGGCGGTCTAATATATAGAGCTCGCGAGATGCGCAAACGGGAGAAATCGACTCGGGATGATGAGAGGAACGGAAAAATACGAGGAGTTCTTTCTCGCGAGAGAGCTCTTTTGTGGTTTGACGGGAGGCTGGCTCTCTCTCTCTCTCTCTCTTTCTCTCTCTCTCGCTCAGCAACGAAAACGAAGATTATAAAGCCACCGCTAAAAGACGCGGAAGCTGAAACAATGGCCGTTTCCGCTCTGCCTTCTTGCTTCATGGTTTTTAGAAAACATTTCCCTCCCCCTCTCTTCTTTTTCTTTGTTTTCTTGATCATTGCGATTTTTTTTTTTTTGTTCATTTTAATCGAACTCGCTTCCTTCCCTCCCACCTTCTCTTTCTCTTTGCTCAAGCGTCTAATCTGCGCTCAGGGAATCGCTGGTTTTTTTCTCGTTCGACCACACCTCTAATGAAACGCGAACGGCAGCAGGATCCTTGAGCAGTTTTTCCCTATCGCCCGTCTAATCTCGATAGATTCGTATTTAATTCGGAATCGAGGATGTCGCGAAACCAATGCTCTCGAGCGATATCCGCATTTGTACGTACCTTAGGTAGGTACCCGTTGTTCGCGGAAAACAATCCGCGCGTAGAGATTTCTGTCTCTCGAATCTAATTGGAATCCAATCAGAAAGAAATAGATTCCAAATGAAACGGATTCTAATCAGAGATTCGAGCTTAAATTTATTAAATTAAATGATGCCGCACCTTTTTTTTATCGCATAGACGGAAAATGAGATCATCTTTCAATAAAAAGAAAAGAAAAAAATTGAAAACAAAGAAACAAACTTCTCGAGACATTTCCAATGAAAAATGCGTCGGTTGAAAATTTAAAATGATCAAAGTGACGAAATATTTGCGCTTTGAATAATATTTCAAGAGACCGCCGACTCTCTTTATCTCGCGATGCGACGCCGCCGGTTCATTTCTCGAGTAATTAGAAACTTCACGAAGAAATTAAATAATTCTCACGGCGGATGAAAATTTCAAGGAACGTTTCTTGAGAAGCAATGAAAATCATGCCCCGGGAACTTCCGCGTGAAATGACAAAGCGAGACCGGGTGCATTGTATAAGCCCTATTAAAAACGGTCGGAGGACTCGAAATGCCTCGGAAATAAACGGTTTAATTGCTCGAGCGAGAGTGATTTAAGCTTCCCGGGGACTCCCCATTGAAAAATGATAATAGCAAAGCAAGATTCCCGTGTCATGGCGCCTAATGGAATTACGAGTGCGCCTCGGCGCGGCGAGAGAGAGATAGAGATAGAGAGAGAGACAACGCGCAATCGGAGAGAGGGTTGAAGTGTCGCGGAATAATTAACGAATTTCCCGGCGGGGACATAAATCGCGTTTTAAGCGTCGGAAACCCTGTTTCCCGTCCCGGTGTTGGCGGAAAATAGCGGCACGGATTAGCTCCGTCCGCGAACGGAGGGGCGGAAGTTTTTTTTTTTTTTTTTTTTTTAATCGAATTTATGCCGCGCGGCGCGCGCTTTTGTGCTTGTGAATGGGGGGGGAGAGGGTTGGAGAATTGGATGAAAACGATCGCGACAAATGGCGCCATCGATGGCGCGACATCGAAACCATCGATGCATTGTTGTCCCTTCGCATGCGTTACTCCGTCGTTGTACTCCGTTCGTTGCACACAAATTTGCATAGAAGACACAAGCCGCACCTCAATAAGAGGCTGCTTTTTTTCCTGGAATTCAATTTTCTATCGTCCGATACTCTCGAGCGCGCCGTTTCTGTCTCGGGCTTATGCAAACGAGCTAATGGCCTCGTACACGCCACTTGCGGGCAAAGATACATATCTACGTACATACATACATACATACGCGAAAGAGAGAGAGAAACGCGTATCTCGTCTCGCGAGTAACGGGACGATTTCGCGGTTCTCTCGAGGATGTCTTTTGTCGCGTTTCGTTCTCGTTTTAACGCGAACTCTGCGTCGCACTTTTTTTTTTTTTTTTTTCCATTCCTTTAGCTTCAGTTTTGATTCCTATAATGTGCGCAATTTATTCAGTCTGTACACTCGCGCGACCGAAGAGGAAAAAATGATTGGAACTTGTAATTTGTTATTCTAGAATTAATCAAGTTCTTTGCTATACGCTCGATAATTATTACACTCCGCACTTTTGTTGGTTATTCTTCTTTTTCTTCAAGAGTCATATCAACTTGGATTTTTTTGTACGTATCGGAAAATTTGCCAAGGAGCTAGAAAAGAAACAATTCTCAAAACTATATCGTTTAATAATTGTAACTCGCAAAACCATTTGTTTCTCTTAACAAATTTTTTTGTGATAAAATATCGATCGTCACTTGCAAACATTTGTTTCACTTAGTATAATAAATTTTGAATTTACTTTTGCTCGTTCTCTCTCTCTCTCTCTCTCTCTCTCTCATCAACTCATTGTTGATAGTTGCGATTCGATTATAAAACCATAGAGCAGCGGCGCAGCGTCGTCGCGTAAACGACGTTCTTCTTGCTGTTTGTGCAGGACGCGCGCTCGAGGAAAGTAATTTCCTTAAAGGATTACGTTTCCCGTTGAGACACGTTAATGACATGTTTGTCTTCGTAATTACAGGTGGGCGACAGAGACACGCTTACGTCGGTGGCGGCGCGATTCGACACAACGCCGTCCGAGCTGAGCAAATTGAACAGGCTCGGAAGCACTTTCATTTATTCCGGCCAGCAATTATGGGTGCCGGCGAAAGGAGAAGGACGTCCCGGGAGCGGATCGGCCACCGACGCGCCCAGCCCCGATCCTTGCCACGATCACGAGTCGCAGGACGACTTGCCACCCGAGGAAAAAGGTGATTTTTCTTCACGGCGTAAGGGATAATTTTAGTTTTTTTATTTTTTTTTATTTTTTTTTATTTTTCTCTCATCTCTCTTTCTTTGCAACGAAACTGAAACGTCGTCGGCTATTCGCTTCCGAGGCTTTGAGATCTCGGAGTATTCTAGATTTCCGAGACAAAATTTCGCTCGACCGACAAGTCTTAATTCTTCTCCGCCGCGAGCGTCTTGAGGCCGTTGAGAAGTAACGTTTCGATTTTTTAATCACCGACGCAACTACTCTCGGCTAGTAGCCCGAAGCGAAAGAACCATCGCCAACGACCTTTAAAGTCCACCTACATTAGGAGGAGTGTCACCGTTCGGGCCATATCGAGCGAGAAAGAAACAGAGAGAGACTCGCGAAGGACAACTCGCTCTTTCTTTTTTTCTCTTTTTTTTTTGTGTTTTTTTCTCCCCGTCCGTGACGCAACGCACGAGGGCGTGCAATTAATGCGCGCGGACAAGATTTCATTCTTATTCCCGTCGAGATTTCGGCGACGAGAGGTGCGATACGCACGCGGTGTGTATCCCGCTTGTGTTCTATCCTGTTGCGCGTTATGCTAATGCGCGCGAGATGGATTTAATACACACGCGTGGAGCGCGCGATGTGAATAATGCAACAGCGGGATCGCGATAGAGCGCTAGAATTGGCTTGCCTCTAACTCAAAGCGAACGGAGAGAACGAGAGAGAGAGAAAAAAAAATTAGGATACGTCTCGAATATTATTTGCCTGCGCGCACCGAGAATCGATCGCGTACCTATATCTCGCGTGAATATTATATATGTGTGACTATATAATACGCGTGTCGTACGAAATTGATACGCTTTTGCGACTATAACATTCGCTTTTCAGGCGAAACGTCGAATTCGCCTTCGGGGAACTTCAATACCTGTCGGTTACATCGGGGTCGGCGAAAAAAAAAACATATTTTTTCCCCGCGTATTTGTGATTTTTATGCTCGCCGAGTTCGAATCTGAAAATTTTTATTTTTTTCTTTCCAGAATTGCGCTATCATGTCGGGAATTTTAACGTGAACGAGATGAAACTCTGAAACTATTGCGCTTGTGCAAACATATTTCCGATGAAAGTCTATCGAAATTATTTCATATAGAGAAATCGGCGCCGGATCAGCGCTACGGATTTCGATTGGACGCGAATAGTAGTCGTACACGTCCGTCAAGTACTCGTTCGCGCGCGAACTAATTAGAATAATTTCAGAGACTCGAGGCGCTCCGATCGCATTTAATATCGCTGACAGACTATTGCGTTGTCTCTTGTCTTTAATTGGCTTGGTTTTTTTTCTTGAATTACGAACACAGGTCGCTTTTCAGACAAAGAATTTTGTAAGAGAGAGAGACATAGTTAATCGGGACAGTTACTTCATGCATTAAATCACGCGGTAATTATATTTATAAATCAAAAATATTCAAAAATATAATTTTTAAAAATAGTTTAATATCGGACATTTTGTTTTCGAGCTCTGGGATGGGAGGAACAATATTTTACATTGAATTCTTTTCATCGTGCAAAATATATGAAAATCTTTCATCTGTGGCGCGATGTGTGGGGGATTATTCGCGAATTGACGGTTAATTATCGTACGCACGCACGTGAGGAAAATGGATATCGATATACAGGGATCCGATATGTTTCGAAGGATCAAAATTTCTCTGTGTTTATTGCAAATGAAAAGTATTTCTATAGAAACAGATATAAAAAATATTTAAAGCTATATGAAAAAATATATAGTGCTTGTTTGAGTTTTTTTTTCATACACAATGCTAGTATGCGATAGCTACGGCGACCATATTTTTGTGAAGAAAATATAAAGGACAACTTAGAAATTGTTTCACAATAAAAAAGAGCAGGTTTATTTGTTAGACTAAAATTAAAAAGTTTTATAATATTTATTATAAAATATAAGTATATGTATGTAATATATAGGATTTTAAGCAATATATTACTGAAACAATACATAATACTTAAGTAGTATTACTTTAAAAAATATTATATTATCATAAAAATATGTTATTTCTTTAAAAAATGTAATCTTGATACTTTTCACAAAAATTAACTTTTTTTAATAAATCAGGTTTGTCTTAAAAATTCATAAAACTGTATACAGTTTATGTCAAAGTTGCATTTGGTATAAAAATACATGCTTCTAATGTTGTGATTTTTAATTAGAGTTTTTCACTGATGACTACATGTATATATTAATGAGAATATATTAATGAAAATGAATAATATATTAATGAAAATACTCGTTCAGTTAGATTCAGAAGCGTTAGATCTAGAAAGACAGAAGCAAAATTTAGTGCCTTTTAAAATGTTTTCAAAAGATACGTGTTTATCTGTAAAATATTAAAAAATTTCAACCCATTTATGTTGGCAGGTTTCATTTTATAGAATAAAGGACATTTCATAAAATAAAGGACAAAATGACTATTTTAGAAAAAAAAAAATTTAAAGGACAGAGCAACAAAATAAAGAACTGTCCTCTTAAATGTAGGACGTATGGTCACCGTAGTGATAGCATAAACCGTCGTTACAAATATCCCTCGTTTTCGTCAATCAGATATTCAAATCTGATATTTATAATCTGATTGCCTCGTTATATTCCTTTATGTCGTACGTTTCTGTGAAAGTTTAATTACGCACGTAAAGAAACAATTCTGCCACATGAATGTGTGAGATGGGGTTGTAGTAGAAAACTGTAAAATAAAAATTTATACTCATTTCCGAGGGAAAATAGCGTACAAATCTTAGCGTAATAATTTATTTGTTTTAGTAGAAGCATTTTTTATTTAACGATGCAATAAACGCGAAGATAGAAGGAAATTGTAAACATTTCCTTCTATCTGAATTTTGTTTTTCGATTTTCCTATCCGATATCCTCTTAACGATTGAAGAGCGAAATTTTCGATTTCCCGTTGTTACACAATTTCGTGACTTTCTGTACGTTATGTCGGTTCGTTTGTGACAACACTCGAACGTTATGCACTTGTTTGCAAACCTTCGAATATTTATTTATGCCTTCTTCGGGGACTCTTGTCATCGTCGGCGCGCACATTATTCGCAATATAATACGCGGACGCGAATCGCGTGAGCGCGATATTCGCGCGCGAAGTGTCACGACAACGCGTCGTACGTTTATTTTATTATATTTTGCGCTAAAAATGCCGGACTGGAAGGAAGCGAACAATTCCGGTCACGATCGCGACCTATCGTGGACTTATATCTTTTGCAATCTGCGATTCGAATGGCCGACGCGACATGTGCCGCGGAAAATGCAATTACATCAAAGAGGTAACTCGACATTACACGTGACACGAAACAATCAATATCGTGTGTTTGCGTTGAGCTAGCTGGGGTCTTTGCCGATTTTTCACATCCGGAAGAACTGAGAAAACTCGACCACAAACGTGCAATAACATCGCTCTTTGCAAGCAAAATAGAAACATTCATTTAAAAAAGTATTTTTTTATGTTTTTATCTGTCTTTCGTTCTCGCTGAATTTACGTATTTTTTACATAAAACTATTTTACATATTAATAAAAAATATTTCAAGGTTTTACAAAATTATGAAATTTTTTTTCGTTTTATAAAAATCGACGGAGTTGAAAATTATCTCAAACACAAGGTCAAAAGTCGCATCTGCGATTAGAGACAAGTTTCGTATTTTTGTTCTACGCTCTTCGACGTAAATAAAAACATTTTTATGCGCGTTCGGAAAACGAGGTCCGAAGTTCGCGCGGGTCACCCGTTATGGTTCCCGTCAGCTGATCGACCGCGCGCGTTGTACAGGCACAGTTCGCATTGCCGCTGTGCTTATCTAACCCAACCCGACCTGGTCGATACGCGGCAGGTAACGACGCTCGCGTCGCGGGCACGATGTCGCGACAGATGAAACAGATGATGAAATTACTGATTTCGTCGAAATTGTACGTACGTGCACGCGCGTTACGACGACGACGAGCGAGCGAGCGAGGGAGTTGCGTCGGAATTTTCTGCGCGCGAGGTTAGGTTAGTTCGCGCTCCGTGACGTGGAATTTGAATACACACACATGGTAACTTTCATAAAAATAAAAGGAAACCACCGTTGAAAGACGATGTCTGTCGTCTTAAAAAAAAAAAAACCTTGGACTTTTATGATCGTTATCAGCGCTCGCTATTTGAAAGGTGATAAAAGATCGCTTTTTTTCGAGAGTGTTTGTTATCGTGTCTCTTCCGCGATCGTAAACGACGCACTTAACGACCGACGAAACCTCGTGTCACGCGATCGATATTGCGACTTGATTTTCTGAACCGACGCGGCGAATGCGAGAATTTTTCGTCACAAATTTACAATTCGCTCACGAAGTTTGTATTCCGATATTGTTTGTTTTTTTTAATACTCACAATATTATTTCCGTTTTGCAGAATTGTTGGACAATCTGAGACCAGTGTCTCCCAAGCCGGGCCATATGGAGCGCGTGAAAACGCCTCTCGGCACGTCCAGCGCGACCGCGAACGAAGACGATCAACCGTTCAAAGAGAGATTCTTGAAAATCAACGTCAGGCACATTACGGACGGTCAGGTAAATAATTTTCATCAGCGCGTCTAGTTATTATAGGTTTTTATAGCGAAAAAAAATCGACATTCCTCTAAATTAAAATAAAATAATATTTTTCTTCAGGGTGTGGTTGGCGGTGTGTTGCTGGTCACGCCAAACGCGGTGATGTTCGATCCGAACGTTTCCGATCCTCTCGTCATCGAGCACGGGGCTGAATCCTACGGGGTGATCGCTCCGATGGAGTTCGTGGTCAACGCCGCGATCTATTACGACATCGCGCACATGAGAGTTTCCCACACGGAGTCCGGCAATTTGGACAAGAAGCCTGAGATCTACTACATGAAGAAACCCCAGGTAGATAATCGCAAATGCCAGTCTCCCGGAAAGGACGAGAATTTTCCCGAATTGGCGGGCGACGACAGCGAGAGCGTTTGCAGTTGCGCGGAGAGAGACGGTGACGCTTTTCCAAAGGCCTTCGAACGCGAGCTCGTCACTCCTACCAATCTTCAGAGCGTACGTATTTCTCGGGGATTCCGCTTGTTTATCTATGAAAATTAAGCGCGCACACTCTAGTAAAATAAACACTGTTTGTTGCAGGAAGAGAATTCAATCTCGACCAAAGAAAAGGAGAAGGAAAAAGACAACGAGAAGGAATTTTGCGGCGGCGGCCAGGCCAGTAGAACGCTGGAAGAACGCAGGCGATCTATGCTCGATCATCATTGGGCAGTTCCCAGCAAGGATCGGAACACATTTTCCGTCGACGACGAGCAGCAGGATTCCTTAAATTCTGATAAGGTGATTGCTACCGCAACTTCCTCGATAAGATAACTGTCTATTTGCGGTTAATGCAGAATCAATAGAGCTTGTATAAACAATCTCTATCGCACGCGATAAACTGAATATGTGTGTCATTTTTGCGACAGACGGAACCAGCCAAATCAAACGCCATTCCCGAGGACGAGGAAGGATCTCTAGTCAAATTGTCGTGCCATGATTCCGGTATCGATATTCGCGACCCGCCCATCCCGGTGGTTCAGCCGATACCGACGAAGAAGGTGTACTCGGACGCGGACATCGTCTTATCATCAGATTGGGTTCCCCCGATTACGATAGCGCCGACGAACGTAACGAGCACGCTGGAACCTGGATCTACTATCAACGGCAGGAAGAAGGCCAGCTCGGTGTCCTTTAGCTTGGAGAGCAACGCGGAAGAGCCTGAGAAAGATGAGGAGCACAAGGACGACGATAAACAGGAAACACGGAGGAACAAGGTACATTTAAATAAATTTGCATTTCTGATTGTGTGTGTCATACTTTTTTACTAGATTTATATATTTAATGCGACATTTTTGTTTTAGATGTTGAAACGTCTGTCGTATCCGTTGTCCTGGATGGAAGGTTTGACCGGCGAGAAGGACGACGACAGCAGCAAATCCGTTTCCGACAAGATGTCGAGCCTGCCGAACAGCGCGGATTCCCATCACTCTTCCGTTTTCAGCAAAGTTTTCTCAAGGTGAACAATTTTACGTCACGTTATATGAACAATTTTTCACAAACAACTTATATATATATATACAATATATATTAGCTTTCGAGTTACTTTAAAAACATACGGTTTTATATACATATAATTGCTTTTATCTTTTCACTCTATCTGTGTTAAGAATGAATAAGAAAGTTCCTGCAAGGGTGCGCATTTACTTATATTAAGAAGGAACGGTCTTATCGCATTTTACTTTAACTTTGCTTTTTGCTGACTTTTTTTAGAGAATATAGTACAAATGAGGTTATTTTATTTTTTTTTTTTCACAAACAAACACGTCTCGCACGTAAATTCGATTTCTGCTGAATTAATTCCTCGATAACTTGGAAATATAACTGACAAAACGACTATATAGCCTCATTTGTTGTGAACGTAGCGTACATTAGCTACTTGCATAGAAAGAGTGGCTTGTCGCACATGAAAGGCATTACGGGATACGAAACTTGTGGAGGGAAACGTTTACAGGGATGAATTTGCGAAAGAATATTCCAAGTTCTCTCTTATTTTTTTTCGACTGATATTATATATTTAAACTAGCCAGCGCGGTCGATTAAATTTCAAGTTAAAGCTCGTGTTAAAAAGTTGTTAACTTAAAATATTCATTAACGTTGTGTCAATGTCTAACCCATAACTAACGAAAAATGTGTAATGGTGGTGAATAAAAGCTCGCCGATCAACCTGGTGAGTGACTTTAGCTCGGGCCTGTTTGCTAAAACCCCCAGCGAGGAGAGTGGCGGTAGAGCGGGTGGAACACCACCGCTCACCGCCTCCTCTCTCTCCCAGGACTCCAGCATTTTCTCACCTGGTCCGGGAGGCCTTATTGGGTGAGTCTGGACCCGATCGTGACACCTTACATTTGTTGTATCCCAGTATCTCCTCCCCTATATTCCCTCTACTTTTCAATCTTCGTCTTTACAAACGTCTTCTGTGTATCTCGGCAGAATCTTCTCTTGCAATATTAAAAAGCAAACTACATGGATGTTATATACGAATAGAAAAAAGCACGCGCCAGCAATTATTCAAATTGAAATTTTTTAACGCTCAGAGGATTCTGCGGATCAAACATAATTTTCCCCTCTTCCACACACACGCTCCACTTTATTTCGTTGTCACTTGATTATCAAGACACTCTGGAGGAGCTTCCTGCTTTCAGGTAAATTTGTACTATTTGCCGAAAGATAGACAGGTGATGTAGACACTCTGCCAATAAACTCAACTCCACACCGCTTACAGCCAACACGATCAGCTTTGACACAAAATACTCAAGCAGTATACCTGATTTTATATTACTCGTCCCGAAGATATGAATATATACATCCCGATTACTGTTGTTTCCTTCTGTTATTATTTATCAATGTGTTTATCAATGTTATATATACATATATACATATATACATACATACATCGTATATATATATATATACGATATATGTATATATATACATGTATCTCGCTTCTGAACTATAAGGACATGCAAAACTCCATCGATGTGTTGTAGTTCGATCAGATAATGTAACACGCTAACTTACTTGTCGTTCAGAAACAGTTGGAATGTTGTTTCGCGTGAGATTCTTACATCTTTTGCAGCCTCGTTGATTCGCAAATTTCCTTTCAGACGTTCTTCCGTGGGCACTTTTATTAGACAGCAACCGTTGACGTCCTCCGGTAGCAGCAGCGTCGACAGCAGTCGAGGCAGCAAAACCTCAACGACGGCGCCGCGATTGGACTATCGCAGTATGGTCTCCGTCGAGGACATGCCGGAATTGTTTGTGAGTTTCGACAGTAAGTATCGCCCGTTTTATCAACAAAAAAAAAATCATATTTATATTTCACAACTTTCGTGTTCTTTTATCGGAATGAGATCGAATATACACTCGTAAAAGAAAACAAACAAGAGAAAAAAAACGTATTCCGAGACAGACTTACGTTTCACACGAGAGACACTCACACGAGTCAGTGGACTCACTTAGTTTCATACTTTAGTACATGAGCATCGATAGTGCAAACGAAAATCAGGCAAGCGAAATCACTTGAGCGATGACTACGAACGACTTTTTTAACGCGAAGAATATTAGTAAATCACGCACTGCACTTGCTCGAAAACGCATAGACAGCTTTTTGAACGATGTTGTTTTTGCCAGTTTATTGTTTATAGAAATTGGAGCGCCTTTGGCTACAAAAAATTGCCACGGATTTGTGCGAATAGTTTGTTTGTTTTTTTTCTCTTCCAAATTCTACATCAGCTTCCCGTCCCGCGTACACAATTCGGCATAAGTAACCAAATGCGCTTATTTTGATGTACATTAAAGTAGTTTATTATTATTATTATTATTGTATTTTAGATTATTCTATTTTATGTCACATATTTATATACATATACATGTATATCGATGATTCCGTATATCACTTTATTAGACCGACATGGCTGTTCGATGTACACCGAGACATTGATCGAGGTTTTCGGAAAGAGACTGTAACGTGCGCCAATTTAACTCTGTCCGTTTTAATTATTTAAAGTCACAAATCACATCCAGCTTAAATTTCAGTACGTATTTTAAGAGAAAGACGACATCTCTCAGTGGAAAGATTCGTCTCAATATAATAGACATTCTCATAAATGTTTTTCTCTTTCTCTTTTTCTCATTCTCTCTCTCTTTCTCTCTCTCTCTCTCTCTCTCTCTCTCTCTCTTTCTCTACGAACAGAATATACGAATATATCATTTGCCAAAATCTTGAAACCCTTTGTGCCGCATTGCATGTAACGAACGTGAATTTTTTTTTTGTTTTGTTTTTTTCGTAACTCGAGTGATTCTTCCACTATTTGAAACGTGTGCGTATAACCTGAGCGTCGACTTGCAATTTTTCACACTTATTTATAATATTGTTCCATAACAATCGAATTCCAAGGTACAAAATATGTTATATCAAATGTACGTTCGATTGTTACGAACTTGAATGTTTAATTATTATTATTATTTTTTTTTTAATCATATCTCTGCGTTAATTAATTGCTCGATCATATCTTTCTCTCGTTTTCTTTCTCTCTCCAGTAATGTTTTGTCTATTTCAGATCAGCACAACGGGTTTCATCACATCTAGCTAGCAATAGTTTCATACTAATGCAGTAATGTCATTTGTTTCTGTTGCCCCTCTAGTCCAAGCACCTAATTTTCCCGAACTCGAGGGTCTGGGTAGGTTTCATACAGTATTAGCTTATACTCTTCTTCCTCCCCTTCCCCGTGCTGGAAAACACTCCCGATGTTTAATCTTTTTTTTTTAATTATTTGTCTACTTCATCTCTTTCTTGCGCATTTTGTCTCTGTCTTTTTGTCTTGTTCTCGATTTCATTCACTATCTATGCATTAAACATGATTTGCGCAATCCGCAAACGAAGACTGTGTGTCACTGTAATGGTTATTTCATCACCATTTCTTGCTGCACGTGCATTTTGTGTAAATCTATTTCTCTCTACAATACACACATATATGTGTTCGTGCGATTGATCTTTTTATTATTATTATTATTATTATTATTACGTCTCTCGTTGCGTCTTGTTATTCTTTTTATATACTAACTTTTTGTCCTGATATACTTTATCTCTTTCTCTCTCTCTCTCTCTCTCTCTCTCTCTCTCTCTCTCTTTCTTTCTCTCTTTCTCTCTTTCTCTCTCTCCACTTACTTCTCTGTGGTAATGTGCTTGCCTCGTTTTTCTATTTATTCCAGTGTTTTTTCATTCCACTTTGTGTGCGCATATGTAAGTGTGATTTCTCAAATAATTCCTAAACAAATTCGAGGAATAAAAATACACGAGCTTTTCTTATGTGTCGTGACTTCTTCTCTTTAACAAAAGCTGTTTTGTTGTGTGTAAAGTCGCGAATCTTGCACATCTCGTCGCCTAATCTGAATTTAAATATATTTAAAAAAAAAATAAAACACCTTTTTTTTTTAATTTCTTTCTGTAACTTGTTATTCAAATATTTCCGGAATCTACTTTCAATACCGTGTTCCTGACGAATATATTACTCTCGTTAACGCAGAATTGATCCCGCGACCCGCGCGTTCTTGCGAAGACCCGCCGTTGTACCTGAGGCTGCGCACCGGAAGACCGAAGGACAAGAAGATACCGCGATCGACGCCAATTATGAGCTACGGCAAAAAGAAACTGCGTCCCGAATACTGGTTCAGCGTGCCGCGCAACAGGTAAGCGGTTCTTTCTTTTTTCTCTCTCTCGCGCGCGCGATTAGATCGCGCTTGCGTAATCATTGCCGATCTTGAAAGTTTTTTGGATGTTCGAATCGCATTTCTAGTTTTTTTTTTTTTTTTTCCAATCACGCGTCGCAATTACGTGAAGTGTGTTTTGAAACAACTTCAGACGTGAAGAGGTAACACAATTTTCTAATCCTCTTACAAATACAGACAACAATATGTTACGTAATATATTTGATCGTGCGTGACAAGCTTGTTCGAAGTATATCTTTTAATCGTTTAAAATACATTTCGATAAGATTTGACTGCGTTTAATGTGCGGCTGTGCACTTTCCAAAGCTCAGTTTTGTCGATTTTTTTTTCCTCGACGCTGTTCTCGCGCCAAGGTTGACCGTGTTAAGAAACGAAGAAGACGACGAAGAGATCCGTGGAATTCCCAAATTTTCGAGTATTTTTACATACATTGCGTGACGCGCGAAATTCTTTTTTCTACATTCAACGACGAACGAGTCGTAGGCGCCGCGATAAGTCAGTCCGCTTTGGCCGGTGCCGGAATAAATATTCGTCCGCGGACGTTTTTTTTTTTCTCGGAGTAAAGAATGAACGGACAAATTTTCTATGTACGAAAACGGTGCGCCGCGGTGTTGTTTTCACGACCGGACGCGCGCGCGCGCGCGCGTTTCTTCTCGCGAGAATCGCAAAATAGATTCTCGCCTCCTACGCCGGATCTTCTATTTATACGCGCGCGACTGATGCTCGATCGAGGTTTGCTGTGTACGTAGGCTGCTGGTGTTATGCCTACTTAATACGAACGCACTTAAAACTGTTTAATCGTAAACATTCCGTTGCGCGTGTGTGTTCGGGCGCAATCAACTATCAACCTGATAGACACGTAAAGTCGAATAAACAATCTTAATATCTCTCCACAAAAAGAGATGACTCTCTCAGTTTGCAAAAGTTCGTCTACAATGGGATTGGCAGTAAAACAGTACGGACGCAAACAATTTCCACGACTACGTCTGTCTCCACAATGAAGACGACATCGGATATTCCGCTGTTTTTTTTTTTTTTTTTTTAAAAAAACTTTAATTTAATCTTTCGCGGACAGACATGGGTTTTGCAGACCCGCTCAAAAATTGCACATCGGTGTCTTTAGTAAAATTAGTTTTTTAAACGCTTCAAAACTACTAGAAATTTTTTCAATTTGTTTTTTTTTATTGACGCAAAATCGTTTCAACTTTCGATTTAAAAAAAAAAAAAACAAACAAAATATAATTGAAAAAATATTAATTTTTCGCGGAGATATTCGATTTTTTAAAGTCGCGTGGGTCTCACAGATCCAGTCTGACTCGTAGTTTACTTTTGAAGTCTGTCCGCGAAGGGTTAAAAAATAAATAATCAGGTACTAGGCAGATATCTAAAAACTAAGTTTTAAAATTTACTGATTCACCGACATTACTGAAAAATCCCATTTCCAAACGCAAAGTGATACAGACGCTTGCTGCGAGCGGTATATCGAAGTGGAAATAATTCATTTCGCTTACGGGGCTACTTACTGCTGCGACCTTCTAAATCGGAAATAGGTCTCTTACGACCTACCGTTACAACCTAAAACTGTCTATTGTTGACGACTCTCTGTTGTCGATGACTCTGTCTATTGTTGACGACTTCGCACCTTACGATATAATCGAAAGCAAGGAGTGTCTCTCGAAGAGAGAACAAAGTAAATTGACGTCAGAGTGTAAAAGAGGCAAAAAATTAATAACAACAAGGTCCCGTCACAAACTTCAGTTTTATTTTAAATCGAGAATGTAAATCGATGAATCAATGAAGAGTAAAAACAAGACAAATTTCGAATTTTGCAAGAAACAAAAACTCACATTTACGTCATCGTAGAAAAGATTAATCACAGAATGACATTGTTTTTTAATCTTTACGCCACGATTTGCAATAAGCTCGAGGAAAGAAAGGGGAAAAAAACAATCTGTCATCTATAGTGTCACTGGTTTATTTAAGATATCGATCTCGATTCTCCGAATGTAGTCTTCGCGCGAAGTAAAAAAATCTTGCGACAGTTTTTTTTTTGGACGCTACTTGTTTACAAGCGTTATCGGCTTTGTTTCGCGGTATCGCGATTGCGATCGAACGGTGCACAATTTTGAGATCGATTCCGTAGCTGGATTAAGATCTCTGTCGACCTCATTTTCACATATCGATCTGAATTCTCGGTAATCGGTTCTTATATCACTCGTTTAAATTACGAAAGTGTCAAAAATAACTCTCGTTCCCGTTAGCGCGCGCAGGTGTTGCGAGAATAAACTCTCGACGCATCGGCAATTGTCTTGCTATCGGAGTTGTAAACGAGAAGCTGAGAAAAATATTGAAGGAACAGCCGTTGTATTTGTTTGATCTTTGCACTTTATCTTCTTTGTCGCGGAACATCAATATCTAAATTACCAATTTAAATTTTATGAAACGTTCTGTGAAAAATTGTACATTTGCATATAGTCTAAAAAAAAGTCTAAAAATCTACACAATTGATGTTGATAAAAATTAGAATTTGTAATGTGATTGTTAAGGTTGTTATTAAGATTCTTTTGTGTTCGAATTTTTGCGCTCGCATTTGTCTTCTTAAGATTTGTTATAATTAATCTTTCGGGCGGACAGACATGGGTCTTTCAGACTCATTCAAAAATTGCGCATCGGCGTCTCTAGTAAAATTAGTTTTTTTTTTAACGCTTATATTTTCGAAACTACTCAAAATTTTTTCAATTTTTTTTATTGACGCAGAATTGTTTCAACTTATGATAAAAAAAAAAATAAATAAATAAAATTGAGAAATATCGATTTTTCGCGGAGATATTCGATTTCGAAGTCGCGCGGGTCTCGCAGACCCAAGTCTGTCCGCGAGGAGTTAACTTTCGCACGAGCGAAAAGTTTTTTTCTCTTAATTTATTACAATAATTAATACTTATTCTCCTTAATATACAAACATCATAAATTATTTGTAACGACACAAGCGAGTTTCCTTCCGCGATTGTACAAATAACGTAGCTATCTGTTTGTTCGAAGAAACACGCGCACGTGTGCGAGAGAAGAGAGAAAATTTTCTGTTTGCGATCTCGACCAGAATCTTCGCTATCGCGATTGCGCACGTGCGAAAATAGATTCCGCGTTCGCTGCTTTTTTGTTCGAAGAAAACAAGAGTCTCGCAAAACGAAACTTTCCGCGGAGAAAAGCTGCGGTGAGAAAAAAAAACCATCTGCCAGTAAAAAAGATCGGAACGACAGTTGCCAAGTCAGCGCGACGAGCGAGCGCGCGAGTAACACACTGCACCGAGCAATGTTCCGCGTCGCGGCTCGAAACAAAAAGTACAGGTGTACCGAGCGTGAATCAAGCACGTGACGCGTAGCACGTAGCGCGAGTTCGCGTTTCGACATTCGCTTGCGACGCATATGAGCAACTACCACCAACTCGTGTTTTCCGGTCGATTCTCCGGTGCGTGTGCGTGTCCTCCAGCGCGTGTCGTTCAAAGTGTCGCGCGAGTGCCTCGTTAGTTGGAAGAAAAAAAAAAAAAAAAAAAAAAANNGAAATCCGAGAAAGTCCGCGTATCGTCGTCGCGCCGGAGAAAACTCTGTAAATTTAACGAACAAACTTGCCAAGCTGTCAAGAGGTTAGGAGTCGAACCGCCGCTGATAACGACCGATAACCAGTCTCGGGTGCGTGCTTCGCGTGTCGCGTTGGCGAGAAGTTGACGCGCGCCTCTTCGTCCTCGAAGATACATCTATCTCGTCGTTTCCCTTATCGTTCTTCCTGTTTCTCCGCGCGTGGTTATGGAATGGACGATGAACACGCTCGGCGGAATGGTGAACTTAATTTACGACCGGCACGTGAGACGAGCGGTGACCAACATGATGCCTTTCGTGCATCGCAGGTAGTATTATATTAAAACTCTGCCTTGCAACCTGTTGTCAAGCGCGCGAATAAGTTGCGAAATAGCGTTGCAAATTGCGTTGCAGCGCGATAACTTTCCTTTTGCATTTGCGTGTATAAAAAAAAAAACGACTAATTGAATAATACACGCGTGTATGTTTTTTTTTTTGTGTTTCGCACAGGGTGGACGATCTGTACAGGTTTATCAACGCGTGGGTGCCGAATCTCTACGGCGAGCTTGATGAAAACTACTGGCGGGAGCGCGGCTACATCCTGTCGGATACCGATACCGATCTGTCGCCGGAATTGTTGTCGCCCCACGAGAGCAGCGAGGGCGCGGACTCGACGGAGGAGGGCAAGACCCAGGACGGACAGGGCGACGATATCACCGAGCTGACGAGAGAGTCCTGGGAGGTGAGTAACGTGTCGAGTGCAATGTGTGGTTTTTTGCCGAAGATAATCGCCCCTCTGTAAAGAGCGGCGGGGATTTTAATAGCGAGGCGATACATAGATATCGATATATTTCTGCGGAGAGCTTGGCTATTCTCTTTTATTATTAGCCAACGTTGCGCAGAGATAAAAGGTTTATTGCAAAGTTACATAATGTTACATTTGAAAGCTGTGAAGATTTTGTTTTTACTGTTTGTCTTTATGATAAACGAGTAGTAGAGATATTTCTCGATTGGTTATTCGATTATTAAACTTCAATATCATCGAGTCGTTGTTACGCAGTTCTGTTGAGAAAATTCTGTTTCCTCAATTTTCTAACAGAAATTTCACGTTTTATTTTATCATTGCGGTTTGTGTTTGCGTAATTTAACCAAGAGAGAATGAAATTAGTAGAGATTTCCGCTGTAATTTTCTTCAAATCTCTCGCTCTTTTTTCTCTTTTTCTCGCAACTCTCGCGGCAAAGTTTCTATTTGTTTCGCTGAACGATAACCCGATCCTCGTGTCGACCTGCGAGACGACGTTTAATCGCGCGATGATAATCGCGCGCGCGAACGATCCGTCGTTGATCGATGCCGAAGTCCACACTTTTGTTTCGATCCCATTCGGCGAAATATATAAATCGATCTTTGTCGACGCGAGGATCGCGCGCAAAGTTCGAACGATCGAACACCACGAACGCCGATTTCCACGAGAGACATTGCTAAAAACGGCCGATTCTGTGTGATTGGCCGACAGTTGATCAAGGCCCCCTACGTAAAGCTGTACAGCATCCTGAAGACCTCGAGCGCATCGGCCGATTCCGAGCAGATCCAGGATTCGGAGGTACCGATCAAAAAAAAACAAAAAAACTCCTCCCTTTTCGGTGATCGACGACACACACATATATATATATGTCGTACAAAGGCACCTTAATTGCTCGATGTTGAATAATGCACCTTTTTTTTTTTAGTGACACCGCCGCACCCTAGACCTTGTTAGATCTCGGGTGCACCCGACATTATTGTGTCACGCGATGTTGCGGCCGTGCCTACATAATCGTTTTATGTCATTTTTTTGTTTCTGTTTTTTTTGTTGTTGTTTTTTTACAGCCGACTCTTTCAAAAGCCGCTTTTGCCCCGCTTCGACGATTCTCACCACACATGTCGTCGGTGCATTCCGTCGTTCGCAATTAGTGCGTTGTTATATATACATATAGTTTTTCCCGTGACCACAAACTTTATATCCTAACCTAACCTACTGCTAGTTCGTAGACGTTTATTTTCAGATCTTCTTCGCTGTTTACACACATCTCCCTCGTGTGTGTTGTCTCGCACACCGTTCGTTTACGAGTCTCATCGCTCGTCAATATTGACACATAGATTAATACCGGTAGTCGGAGAGATTAGCGGTTTTTTTTTTTTTTTTTTTTTTAATATGTTTGCGCGCGATGTGTTGTGCGAACGCGTTCGCGCGTGTTTATTCGAGCCGGGAGAAATCTTTTTATCTCTCTCCTCACACCGCGTATATTCTTATCGTGCACACCAAAAGAGACTGCATGCTTTTTCGTCGTAGATATTGTGTTACCGTTCTATTCAACTACTACTACTAGAACCTCTAGATGAATGTGCGAGCATGCACTCGAGTATACTCTTCACCTCTCGCGCATGAACAATTTTATATCTTTATCGCACATCGTTGTCACTGTCTTTTTTTCTTTCTCTCTCTCTCTCTTTCTTTCACGACGTGTTTTGACGTTTCTCGTTTGCGATTTCTCGCGAAACTTTTCTCGTTAAATACCTGCGCAAACGCACTTTCCAACGTGATTGAGCGAACGATTCTCAACGACGCGTAAAAAATCCGGAAAAGTTGACGAAAACCTGTGAGCATATTTTTGTTGTTGTTGTTTTTACCACCTGTGGTGTCGATTTTTCGAAAATTTCGTGAAACTCGAAAGTGCAGCGTCATGTATCAGAGAGTGTACATTTTTTTTTACATTTTTTTTTTTTTTTTTTTTTTTTTACTTTTTGTCTGCTTTTTCGGATTTGTTTCTCACTGCGAAGAGACAGCGGAGATTAATCGATTTCAAGGTGAAATTATAATTGCGAGAAATATCAGCGCTCCGCATGTTGTTTCAGTGCGGAGGACGTAATGAGCAGCGCGTAGACGTAAAAATAGAAAACACATTTTTATTCTCCTGCAAAAAAAGGAGATATCTCTCGGTGCTTTTATTAGAGATTATTGTTTCTGGCGTTAAATATTTTTAATCGCGCGCGCGTCTGGAATTTTCCGGCGCGCTAATGTTGTTCGACGTGACAATAAAGGTTCTCTTTTTTTTTTTTGTGCGCGTAATTAAGCGCCGCCGCCGTCGCCGCACGTCACAGATGTAAACATACACAACAATATATAGATATATCGCAACGTGTGTCGAGAGTCAGAACTCTTCTCGACGTTTACATAAATGGCGTTGCATTATCGATGAGAAATTGGCACGGTCGCGGTGCGAATTGACACAATTGCGGCAGATAACATTTCTCACGGGAGAATATTTTCCCGGGCACTTGTCACGAACATTCGTGGTTTTTTTCTTTTTTGAAGAAATTTTTTTTTTTTTTGTGCAAAGACAGCGACAGTTTCAATTGCGATCCGGATAAGTTGCGAGAAGGTTCGAGTAGAATAACAGACTCTCATATGATTTCACAAAAATGTAAACTACAGTTGAAAAACAAATAATAATAATAAAAAGATTATATTAAGCAGATTAAAACTGAACATAAGTTCCTCGTTTCGTTTTTTTTTTAATTACGTGATTAAGACAAGCGTGCGTTATCCGATTTAGAATTAAATATCGATTTCAGATAATGAGAATCCGACGCGGTGTAACGTAAAAATAAATACGTCAAGATCGTAAAAAAAAAGTAATAAAAATCGCAGCGTGTCGGCGCGCAACAATCTGTTCTTAGCAATGTAACACAGACAAAATCCATATATACTGGAGAATTTTTTTTCCTATCTTTAAATAACACGCGTGTGATTTACTCTTCGAAAATAAACGGGCAACATGCCAGCCGCGCACGCATTTATTTTCGGACGCTCTCGATTGCGCGCGGCGGTTTTATCGCGAAGAAGAGAAGCCGCAATTCACGCACCGCGCTCACACAAATCCGCTCGGATTTTTTGCCCGTAACTTAAACGCGCGCGCTAAAAAAAAAAAAAAAACTTTATTTAATTACGTCGACACGCGGCGGCGAATGCAAATAGGAAATTTTGCGGAGCGAAAATTTTGTGTTTTTTCCCGGTCATCTACACTTTATTTTTCACCAAAGAGGATTCCAAACAAAGTGAATAATGAACGAGGCGGAACTTTTTTAATCAATTTGTTGTTGCGCGCATTGCGTGTACGTTTTTCGAAGATGCGCGCGATAAGAACGATATTCGGGTCTTTCGCCGAAAAGGACGGTCTTTGATCGCCGAGGCATTCGCGGCGGGAGACAAGATTGTGGATGGCAACAGCACGTGCTGCGCGTCCGAGGATGCGCAATCGGCGCGGGAGGAAAGCGCGTCTGCTAGCATACGCGCGCGCGTCGCGCGCTCATATTCTCTCCTATCCCCCTACTATTTCTCTCTCGCTGGTTCGCACACACACGCTTGCGAACGTATTAGATTTACGCTTCGAAAGCTTCAGTGCGGTTTCAGTCCCCGTGAAGTGAAGCTCGCCCGATTGGAATCATCGCGCGTGTAAATAAAAAAAAGATGTTTTGAAAATTTTCGACATTTTTTTTTTGAACAAACGATAAGAACGATTAAAAAAAAAAAAACAACCGACGCTTCGAAAGTAACAGAAAACCTGCAGTCTTTCTCGGTTTGTCAACCGAGCTTGACTTTGACTTGATTGTTTCTAGTCGACTTGCCAAGGATCTTACGTAAAGAGAAGTAGTTCTCACCGAGAATCGATCTCGCGTGTCGAAAGTGTGTGCTGTAATAATTTTTAAGGAACACAACACGACTGTGGGGTTGAAATTCGAGTTCGCCGCGTTCGTACCCACTGCTGCTTTTCTCTCGCTCGGTACTTCGCGTACAACTCGCGCGTGCGCGTACGTGTGTGTGTGTGTGCGCGCACGAGAGGCATAATGTAAACTGGTCTCGGCGATTTTCCATTCGCGATCTCGAAAGAAAAAAGGAGGAGGACCGGGAGAAGGTGCGCGTCGATTTTTTTTATATAGTGCCCCGACGAAGATTAAATCGCGAGGATGTCGAAGTCGAAGATACCGAATCCGATCTCCAAGATCTCTAAGTTCCTGAAGAAGAAGACGAAGGTAAAGATCGATCTCCTCAAGTGCGCACATGTGTTTTTTTTTTCTCGCTCGTCTGTTCGCTGAACGGGCGAGAAATACGGAGGAAGGAGGTGGGGGGAAAGGGCACTGTGTCGAGAGAAAGAATGTAGTTTAACGAGGTTACATAATACGAGAGAATACGTAAACAAGATTTCGCTCGGGGACTCGGTCGCGTATATATCGGAATATTTGAATACGTCGAAATCCGCCCGGCAATTCCGAAGCGATACGCCGAGAAGTTTGAACGGTATAAAAATTTTAATCGCGTTCATTCTCAAGTCTCGCGATACACTTTTTTTTTTTTTATCACGAGTAATATTTCGTTTCACATAAAGAGACGCATCGGAAATCGGCAGCGTCGTTCGTACACGTCGCAACAAATGATGTTTATCCGCGAAAAAAACGGTCTTGAACAATTCGCGAGCGCGCGCGACCACCACGTACCACACACACACACACACATACATACGCGCGCGCGAGAGCCGTGCCTTCGTTTACGATCTATTTCGCGCAATTTGCACGCTAATGGCTCGCGAAGAGCGGCGCGCTTTGCAATACCGGGGCGGCGGTAATATATTTACAACCGGTCTTCGGGCCGAGCCCGTAAAGCTCACCTTTCACCGAACTGTGCGAGCGCGCGATACGCGAGTCGCTGCAAAAACGTCTGGTATTTAAACGTGAAAAACTAACCAAGTTCGTATCGCACATCGTGCTCGCGATAGTCTCGCGAGATTGAGAGCGAAAAAAAAAAAGAAAAAGAAACGTGAAGAAACGTGAGACTTTTCGATTTTTTCTCTCGGTTCTTTATCTCGGGAATAACGCGAGAGAATTCGTCACGAAGTGAAGTAAAAGTACGGCATTTTGAACGTGTTTGTTTCTCTCTCTCCGCGAGTTTTGAAGCGACCCGACTCGGGGTTAAAATTAGCAGAATTCGGATGAATTAGCGGATTCGCATGAAGGGCGGAAAATCGCATTCTCCGCGCGATGATTCATCGGGTCGCGAATATTCGGACGACGATCGCGCGCGAACTAAATCCGTACGCGCGAGATCTCTTGTGATTTGAGATACTATACTTGCAATTGACATTGTCACTTGTGTCGCAACTGGGCGAGATGAAATCTCTCGCGCGACAATTTATTCTACGCGCTACGTAATTGGTCGATAAAATGAATCTTTTTGAAAAATTATTTCGCGAGAATTAAAATTGTTAGCACGTTCTCGTGGATTTTTATCTCTCGCACCGACGAGTGATTTTGTTCGGAGGATGATTGTTGTCATCGCGTTGATCAATCAATCGCAGCGTTCACTTTGTTTTTTTTTTTTTTTTTTCCATTATTTCTCCTCGGGAGTCAACAAAAATCGAAAATTTGCTCGCGACGTTTGAGCGACGCTTCTTTTTGGGAAATATTGACCCGTGACCGGGTATTATCAATGCAGATAGACTATCATGCATTGCTCTCTTCCACAGCGCACAAACACGTACGTATATATTGTTGCAAATAAGCTTATCG